TAAATGGTGATGAATGATTCAAAAACAAAGTTTGAGGAAGTCGATTTTTAAAGTTTCAGATCTTTTCTTGTTTCTCTTTATAATTTATTTTGTAAAATTCTAGATCCAAGGGAGTAGAGTTTTGAAGGAGACCACATCTCAATAAATGCATTAACTAAAGCACCAAAACCCAATCCTTATATAAAAGCTCATGGTAAAGCTGGACACATATGACACAAATCAGACATGGACACTTGTGAGCCATTAGATGCCTAATCCAACAGTTGAGAAAGGGGCTCGCACATAAACACATGCAAAGGATGATCATTCCCATACCAAAAAGGGGTCTTACATATTTTTATAAAAAAAAAAAAATGCCTATCACTCTAAACCCCATATTAGCTGAGCTACAATCCTGCCTTTCTAAGTTTTTCTCTCTCTGCTTTGAGCTAAGATTGAAACTTTTGGATGCCCCCTATTCAGATAAGTGAAGTACAAGGAACTCGAATTCATTTATGAATGTTCTTCCAAAGATCACAAAGTATTTTTTCAGATATTCCTATTATTTGCTAAATGCATTCAGATAATTCAGGACTCAAAAGGACTTTAATTACCAACAAAAATTATAAGTTACATATATAGTAGAGACCTCCAATCAAATAAAACTTTACCAGTTAATAAAAGGATCCTGACTTCTCACAAAAACTGCATTCTGTAACAAAAAACTTTACTCGAAGCAGAGAATTATAATGGAAAACTGAGTCCCAGACCAATAAGTCATGATGCATAACAAGGAATTGATTACTAACACTAATTAATGTGAACTTCAAAATGCTGAAGATCAAAAACCTATCCGTCAAGAAATATACAAATCAATCACTGTAATAATGCATGGAATCACTGTAATAATGCAGGGAAACGAGCCTACAGGCACATAAAGAGTTACCTACTCTCAAATAAGTAGGCATCAAACTACAAAAGAGTGAAATGGAATGAGATATACAACTCTTGAGGATCAGATTAACCACATATCATTCTGATAGGTCTATAATGTAGCATATGCTAAAGGGCCTTCAAGGTATTCATTTGACCCTAGATTTTGCAGATAAGATCCATTCAAGGGTCTACCTTTTTCCTTAAAAAATAAAAATTAAAGGAAAAGTCTACCGTGTGTCAATTCTAAGTATGAGTGTATTAGATAGATTTAGGATACGAGATACATCCTAAATCTAAGAAGTTTCAAATATTTCTAGATTCTTAGAATTTGTGAAGTTACACTCGGCCTAAAAGTTAACTTTCACAAATCGTTTACGGTGGGTATTAACTGTTCAGAGGACCTGGTGCTGGATATAGCAAATAGGATGGGATGTAAGGTTGGATCGTTCCCTCTCACTTATCTTGGCCTACCTATCTCCGATTCCAGGCTATATATTGCAGTTTGGGATATTGTGCTTGAAAGAGTTAAAGTTAAGTTAGCTTTATGAAAGCACAGGTATCTGTCGTTGGGTGGAAGGGTGATATTGTTAAGATCTTGTCTAGTTAATCTTCCAGTTTATCAGATGTCATTGATTAAAATGCCCGCTTTAGTAGCAAAAAAATTAGATAAAATGATGCGGGATTTTCTATGGGGTTCCGGTAATAAACAAAGAAAATTCCATCTCCTAAGATGGTATGAGTGTGTACTTCGAATAGAGAAGGGGGCCTGGGTCTAAGGAATACTAGAATGGTTAATCAGGTTTTATTGTACAAATGGTGGTGGCGTAGTTTTCATTTGCAAGATTATCTTTGGTTTAAAGTTCTTTCGGTAAAGTATGAGATGGATAGATTTGATGTCTGGCTTAGGGAGAGGGGGGGGGGGGAAGAGGTAATGCTACCTCTTATGTGCGGAAGGTTATTTTCCATTGTAAAGCTATGATTTCGGTTATTTCAGATGGAATACATACTGTGGTAGGCGAGTTTCTTTTTAGCATCATAAATGGAATACATACTGTGGTACGCACATTTTTATTCACTGTTCTTTCATTGTGAGAATTTGGTATTGGTTAATCAGAGTTTTAGGGATTAATTTGGTGCTTCCCCAATCAGTAGAAGGGATAGTCTCATAATTTGATCTTGCACATCTGCCTAAAATAGGGAGAAGTATTTGGATAATTGTGAAAGGTGTTATCCTTTGAGAGGCATGGAAAGAAATAGAAGGACCTTTGAGGAGAGTTCTATGTCTTTTGAAAGAATAACATATATCATCGAACTCTCTATTTGGTTTTGGTTGTCTGTGACAAAGGAAGGTTGGAGTAACTCCAAAATCGATGTTATGACTAATCTTAGTAACCTTTTCCTCCTTGGTTGTGTTAAAACTAGACTGAGAAGCATTTGGATGGCACATCCGAATGACTGTTTAAAGCTCAACTTTGATGGTAACTCATCGGGAAATCCTAGATTAGCAGGGATTGGCGGAATTTTGTGAGATTGCTCGAGTAACATTTTTTTTCTTATGCTGGTCCAATAGGTGTTCAAACAACCAATTATGCTGAACTGAGTGCTTTACTATGTGGGGTTAAAATCTTCATTCATAGGGATCTTGGTAATAACTATTGGATAGAAGGGGATTCTTTAAATGTGATTAAATAGTATAATAGAGAGCAGAAAATTCCCTGGGAGCTACGCTCTATATGGTTGCAGGTTATGGATTTGGTAGATTCATTCACAATTTCCTTCACCCATGTTTATCGTGAAGCGAATCATGTGGCCGATGTTTTGGCTAAGGGTGGTGCGTCCTTACTTTCTCTTGTTATTTCTAATGATGTAATTTTCTTTTTTTAGTTATCAATAAAAGTTAAGAATATTTGTCACAAAAAAATTTACGTGTGGCATCACTAGGTAATAAGATAAGAGAAAATAGACTTAGTAAATATAGAACCTGGTGTGGCATCATTAGGTGATAAGATAAGAGAGAAAAGACTTAGTAAATATAGAACCTATTAGGAGGTGCTCGTTAATTCGAGTGGAAGGCTCGAAAAAAGCAAGAGGTAGATCCAAAAGGATATAATTGGCAGCAGTGAGAAAAGATATGAGGACTTATGGCCTCAGTGAGGGTATGACTTTTATAGAGCATAATGACATACCATGATTCATATAATCCAAGCCCAATTAATTGGGAAAAGGCTTTGACGATGATGATGATAATGAGATACATACTAAATCAGTGCAATTGCATTCCCACTTAAATTGATGAATTTGTGCCTCCAAAAGATCACATAATCTTGGAATATACAAAGCCTCCAAAATATTGCATAATCTTGCGATATGCAAAGAAAAAAATGAACGGGTAAGAAAAAGTTCAAAATAAATTATTTTTTAATTATAATTTTTTTTTCTTCTTCAAATTCATGATTGGAGTGGTTGAGAACTTCAGATATTTACCTGTGTAACTTCTAATAAAAACTAAGCTGTAATATGGATTCTGAAGGCCGATGTGTTTGAAGATGTGCGTGAGCTTACTAAGGCCCCCACCCCAACCGAAATTAAAATCACATCCTAAAATCAGATCATCCATTAATCGATGCTCAAATCTAGGTTTGTACGTATTGAAGTCTTCTTTCTTTCCTTGTTTTTTTTTTTTTTTGGAAAGATGTGGAAGTTTCGGCTGAAAATAATCAGTCTTGGCCTATAACTGTAGCTATCTGTTGATAGGCCTATGCTTCCCTCACATAAGTACCACGTTAAATTTACTGATGAGACGGTGAACAAACCAGAATCATGGATCGATTTCTATGATCTTTTGGTGCAAGACGGTTTGAATGGCATGTTTTCAAAACAGCGACCGTGAAATGATTACATGAGCAGTATCACAACGACGGATACCTTACGCATACACAAAAAGGGAGAGAGAAAGAGGTGAACTTTTTTTTTAAGGTTATATACTCCTAACTGTCGGATCTTCATCGAATAGTAGAAAATGTATGTTATTTTTTGAATTTTAATCTTGTTTCTATAAAATAATATTAAGCTAAAATTTTGGAAGTATATAGCTGACACTATCGCATACCATAGAACAATATATATAAAAAAATATTTTCTAAAATTTAAAATAGCCAAATTATCCTACCACATTTCAAAAGTAGTTTAGTTATTTCAAGTTTTGGGTAATATTTGCTTTGAATATATTTATTGTTTCCCCTAATATCTAGTATACCCGCCCAAAAGTTCCTCTTGATAATATTTGTACAAAAAAATGGAATACCCATGAAAGAAAAACCATTCAGCATTTTACCTTTCTGTACCTATTGTAATTCATGGCATGCGTCTTTTAATAGTTTGTATAAAAAATATAGAAAAATTTATCAAAATACCCACCAACTTTCAACATTTTACCTATTTCTACCTAATCCAATTCACTATCAAGTGCCTTTGTGCCTTTTAATGGGTATTTTGAAATTAAATTATATTATAGGTAGAATATCAGCTCATTTCTAAAATTCAAATGGTAATATATCTTTTCAACCATTCAATCAAAATTTGACGGCTGGCAGCAAAACTTAAATTATGGGCCTTTTCACACATACCCATCATGAATCTTTTACCCATCATGAATGTTTATTTGAAGGAAAAAGTTTATATTATGAGCTTTTTCCCACATTCCCATCATGAATCTTTTTTTGAAGAAAAATTTTTATATAAGGACGAGGCTCTAAACAATCAATTTAGAGCTCACCTCAAAAATCCAAAATCTAAAAGAGGTTGTTTTGAAACCCAAAAATCTTCAAATTGATCATCTCGAACTCAAGATGCATAGACATGAAAAAAAGTGGATTTCAAATCATAAAATAATACAACTTGTAATGCATTTCTTGATGATCAATTTTCAAGTGTTCATAGATTTGCTCGATCTATACTTCTTTTGAAATTTCAAACTTTATAGTTCGAGATGAAAATAAATTTCACGCCATCACAAAGATTCCTAATATTGAAATGGCATCTTTCGACACTATGTGCTTTACTTTGATTGTTTAGAGCCTTGACCCTTATACAAACCACACCCATTTTTGAATACCAATTCCATGGCAAAGTGAATTCTGTGATCACAATCCACTATAAAAAAAAGAAGCCCACTTTGTTTCCTCTCTTGGTTTTGTTTTCATACAATCACTTTGGATTATAACCTCAGCCAATGTCTAGTTGGATGGAATTCCTCCTCTCAGCACAACCGTGATGCCCAATTCTAGGTCCGAAATCAGAGAGAGAGAGACTTGGGGTTATCTTCTCTGCTGAACCGTCTGGAATATAATACATCATAAATGGATAGAAGAGAAACGCTTACAAGGAGGGAAGATCATCTCATCTCAGCTCAGCACTAGCATAGATCAGATCCCAAGCAAAGAAACCCATCTAAAAACCAGGCACAATCAATCAAAAGAACTACCGATATAACCTTACATGTCATGAAGCCACCTTATATCTTCCACTCTCAGAACTAGCAGCAAAAACATCTGAAGAGATCTCGTAGCTCTCACTCTTTCTACCCCAGCTTGAGTGCCGATGGCTCGAGGGCATCTCTAAAGGGAAGTGCCCACTTGCATCATAGCTATCACGGCCATTGCTGCTTCTATTATATACACTGTCATCTATCTCGGAACCACGCTCTGATACCTTAGAAAGAGCAGCCCCAAGCTCCAAATCCCCTTCAATTTTAGCTCGGATATCTTTAAATACTTCTTCTTCGCTGCCTGGGTGAGGCATTGCCTCTACATCTAGCTCTTCGGTTCTTTGCTCCACTATCTGTCTAAAGTTGTTCTTAGAAGGTGGAATGCTCGTGCAAAATATATCAGCAAAGTTTCTCACACAACCTTGGTCATAAGGATTCTGCCTGCCATCTGCTCTGTATCGGAAGTTCTCGTATGTTGTCTACAGCATAAAATGACGAGACATCATGAAAAATTAGATGGATATGAATGTCGAAAGAAGCACAAAAATCTTCTCAAATTTCTTTAATATAACTTGCATCTATTGGTCAAATTTCTTTAATATAATATCAGAATATTAGACAAATGAATTACTTATTTTGTAGGTGTCCATAAAAAAAGGAAAATGATTTTGAATACCAGTCGTGGGTATAATAGTATACATTCAACAACCCTGATTAGAAGGGAAGAAAATAGACAACCATAATTAGGTGTAGGCTAATCTTTTTTTTTTTTCCTGCAAACTTGATTTGCATGTGTCACATAGTGAAGCAACTGAAAAAATATAAAAAATAATTCAAATCCAATAAATTGATCAAAATGCCCCCAAAGCATTCAAAGGCATTTTGGTCAATTCATTTTATTCGAATTATCTTTCTCAAAATTTTCAGGTGCACCTGATTGAGAAGAATAGACACCCACATTTTCAAGTTAAATAGATTTGTAGAAAAAAGTTAAAATTCAAAGACCACATACAATCATGTCCGTCCATTTTCTCCCTTCTAATTTAGACCGTTGGGTGTTTACCACAGTAGGCATTTCAGAACACTTTCCCAAAAAAATGTTGACAGGCCAAAAGCTATGTGGTTCCAATTCAAAAACATAAAATGTTGACAAGCCATACATCATGTGGTTCCAATTCAAAAACATCTTTCAATACATCTTTTTACTTGGCCAGTATCAGTAATCACCACAGAAAAGTGATTTTTATAACAAAATGGTGAAGGAAGTGATCTTGGTTGCATTGCTAGATGAGAAATGAGATGGTCAATTTCAATTGTAGCGTTGAAACTCAGGATGCAGGCCCAACTAGGTGCTGGTAAACTCTTCTCGTCCTAATAACATAATGCAAATATACGTGACCTACTCATGAAGATATACAAAAGACTGGTAATTAAATATAAATAAGCCAGCAACATAAATTATGTTTTGGCCCACATCAAAGTGAACCAAAAACTTCTTCCCTTTTTACATACATGAAAGCATGATATTTATCATTAGTGAACCCCAATAATGGTTGCGCCAATCAATTACATAAAAGCCCCCAATATAGGGCTGATGTGGGCTGGAGACAACTGACTGAGTCATGAAGACTCAGTGTGTCGCCTGAATTTTTTAGAGTCTTACATAAACCTGGCTAACTTTTGGCCAAGTCTGTGTACAACTGAGTTTTTGGCCAAGTTATCTAGTAATCTAGTGGAGTCAATCCAGGCCAGATTAAAACACTCAAGAACCATTAAAATTGACAACTTTAAAAAAATTAGCGGATGGCCTGACCAGAAAGGGAGCCCTTGACATGCGAATCATGATCAATGAGGTCAACAACAGTTTGATACTTCACATTGATTCTTGGTCATTTTGTTAAGACCTGAGAATCCTCTTCTCATTCATTTTTGTTGGGTCTGAGAACTCCCGCTCTTGTACACATGAGAACAGTCACGTGAGAGATGCAACATGCTCTTTTTCTGAGTCAAGGTTGATGTATTACCTTGTAAAAACGAGATGTACAATATTGGCCACCCACAAGTTAGGAGCTCATGTACCGCTAGAGTGTGAGCATATACATCCAAAAAATGGAGGCAGGAAGCCCCAACCAACCAAAAACCATTGGAACAGAACTCAGAAGTCCTAGCTGTTCCATGTGGGTCCCCTTGCTACACTTCTTTAGCTAGAACTAGACCATCCACTCTGGCATTCCCTCCAGCCATGTATGCTGAAAGGAGACCTGAATAGGCTGGTCAAAAATATAATCAAAGATATGACATCTCGAGGTCCACGAGATGACACTCCTAGAGTCCCCTTCAATTACAAGGCAGTTGCCACAAGAGGGATCAAAACACTTGAGCCCTTTCTGGGGCAGGGCAATCATCTCTGCCATTGTTTTTTTTTTATAATGTTGGCTAGTATTAAGTATGTATATGTAACTTTACAAAAATTGCTCCCCGCACAAGGATTGCTATACAAAAAGGATTGCTATACAAAAAGTCCCTGAGGGTCAAGAAAGAAAAATTACAGGAGCTACAGTAAAATGCTAGACCGAAGTCGTCTGGGTAATGCTGGACTGAGCCCCCACCTTAGCCAGGGCATCTGCGGGGGAGTTGGACTCCCTGCAAATGTTCTTCCAAGAAATGTGGAGATTTGAGCAATCTCCTCAAAAATATGATCGAGTCTCCACGGGCAAGGGAAGGAATAGTAAGCCCATAACAAAACGTTCTTCGAGTCTCCTTCCACGGTAAGCGTAGGACTCTAGGAAGGGTTAAACTTGCGAAGGCCCTCTAACAGAGCTAGGGCCTCAGCAAGAGTCGAGTCTGCTAGGCTTATCGGGCGGGAGTAGAAAAACAAAGTGTTGCCATCAAAGGATCTGAAGATGCCCCCTATTCCAGAGGGTCCCGGGTACCTAGGGAACAACCGTCAAAGTTGAGCTTGATAGTACCTTCCTCTGGTGGTCTCCAGAGAGAAGCATGAGAGATTCTAAAGGTAGAGAGATTCACCAAGGACTGCCAGTTGGTGAAAAGGTCGTAGAAAGCATAATCATCTCTGCCATTGTTGAATCAACAATGCCGATATACCCCAAAAAGGCCAGCAAGAAAACCCCTGTGAGTCTCAAAAATACCACCGAAACCCACCAGACCAAGGTTGCCAAGAGAGCACCAATCAATGTTCAGCTTGACACAACCTTGTTCAGGTGATCTCATCAGGGACAATCTAGGGATGGGTTGAGAGCGGATTGATAAGATTGCCTCTAGTTATTGATGAAGTCATCGTCGCATAGGCCTTGAAGCTTTGGTATTTTTTGCTTAAAAAATGACTGATTGATCTGACCTCATCCTTCATTGCTAGATTAGAGGCATCCTTCCCTTCAAAGATGCAGGAAATCCTTTCCAGCCAGATGACCCAAAGTGTGGCAGCAAGCCAGGCGTGCCACAGAAAGAGCTTTGCAGATTGTATTAAGGTAAGTAGAAAGCACAGAACAGTTGAACTATCAACTGAGGAACTACCGGCCAAGCTCTCATCATGATCAACTGACCAAGGGGGTGCTGGTGTATTGCTTGATAAAAGGAGATGACCAAGAACTTACCAGAACTCCCAGGGGACAAACCAACCTGTCAGCACCAGATTGGGGTAGGAAGGAGTGGAGTGGGTTTTTGAGAAGGCAGCAAAGTAGGGGAAGTTCTTGGCCTCGGAGTGGCCTCGTGAAAGTGAGGTTAGGTATTGATTGGGTGACAGTGACCTGAAAGTCGACGAGGACAAGGCAGCACCCCTGGAAAGTGGTCCCCACCCACAGATCAAGCCAAAATCTTACTCTTTTGCCACTTTTGACCCCAAAGCAGAGCAACTTCTGAAACAGGTGTTGGCATGCTAGAAAAGCACGCCAGCCACCAGAGCTAGAGCACTGGCCACCCCTCAAGTACCAACTCCCTCATCTAGTACCGTAGATGTGGTATGCTCTTTTCTTTAATTAATATTATAGTGTCAACTTTTATTAAAAAAACAAAATTATCATTCTTCAAAGAAATTCTAGCAAAAGAAACTCCAAAACCCTGCAATTCTTAATGTACTTGAGGATTTTTCTGCATCTTAGCAAAGAAAAATAGGCCTTGTTCTGCAAGTATAACCTCAATTGCATGTGACAAATGGATCCTCATATTTCCCTCACCAAGCATCCAATGCTTTGGTTACACTGCACAAAACCACTCTAATAAATGTCGGGAAAACCAGCTCAGGGCAAATCCAAGTCTACCATCCAGAGTTTGACCCGAGTAGAGCCTAAGAAGCCCCAAAAAATCCAAATTCAAGAAAAACATGACAAAGTCAGAAAAATCTTAAGAATAAAAAATATAAAAACTATGTATATGGAAAATGATATGGATTTAAATTGAATGCGTCAGAAATACATAAGCTATATAAATGCAAGCTCAACTTCGATGGTTGCGCTTTGGGAAACCTCGGGCCTGCGAGAATAGGTGCTATACTCAGGGACCACTCTGGTTCAACTATCGCTTCCATTTCTAAAAACATTGGTCATACAAATTCTACAGAAGCAGAGACGACGACGCTACTTGAGGGCCTCAAACTTCTTCATCCCCACAGGATAGAGTCTATTTTAATAGAGGGAGATTCCATGAATGTTATTGCCTGGGCAATAAATCCCCCCCCCCCACCCCTCTCCCCCTCCCCCTCCCCCTCCCCCTCCCCCTCGGGTTTTGGCTCATATTGTTTATGAGATTAACCACCTTTATAGGGATACACGTCTTATGGAGCCCCATCTGGCGGGAATCAAACCAGGCAGCGGACACTCTCACTAAGGAGGCGGCGACTCAGGATGGTTTACAGGATCGATGTTTTGGATTGGCTTCTTTTTATTGGTTGCTTTGCTACTATCTCATTGTAACCTATAAAAAAATGGCTTTGTTATTCTGCTTTCCCACCCCCCCTTTTCAGAAGGGTTTTTTGTAAATAAAGCTTCCGCCCTGTGGATAGCCTATACTTTCTAGTTTTTTGTACTCTCTTATCTATTAATTAAAGGTTAACTTTCTCAAAAAAACAAAAAAATCGAAAACTCGAAATGTATCCAAAATTTCAAGACAGATCCTCCAATATTTGCTCTTGGTAGGAACCAATGCCTCCAATCTTTGTCAAAGCTTCCTCAAAACCCCAAATCAAAAACCTTAAACCAGATTCCGAATTCGAGTTTGGATCTTATTGATCCATTCTCCTGAAAATTCAGGTGAATGGTGAATGCAAAATAAAAATCTCACAAACAAGATATTTTTATTTTTTCTTTTTAGTAAGAAACAAGCCTATGATTGGATGGAGAGCCAAAAAATAGACTTAGGGAACAAATTTCATCAAAGATCGACCAACCATTGCGAAGAATACACAACTTTCTAAAATTGGGTAAAACCTAAGTCAAAATCTTTGATCTCTCAAATCCATAACATATTTTTTTATTCAAATCTGATCTATCTGACTGATAGATCAAATCAAGGCCAAACTTTGGGTTAAAATTGGTGTCCATAGGGTGAGAAATAAAGAAAAAGGGGGACGGATTTCTACGCTACTTTATATTTCAGTTTCAGCATTGGACTTGGCGAGTTTTGATGACTATCCACATCCACCGAAACTCGTCCAAGTTTTACATCATAGAGATCATAAAAGAATAGGATATACAAACAAAATTTGTTAATTAACTCATTCTTTCAAGTCCAAGTCTCTTGCTATATCTATTTTGGTGTATCATGAGTAATATGCACAACAAGCTGAGTAGCTGAGAAGAGGATGCTGAGATGGATGAGTGGCAAGACAAGGGATAGAATTCAAAATAAATATATTCGGGAGAACTTAAGTGTGGCTCCAATAGGTGATAATATGAGAGAAAGTAGACTTAGGTTGGCTGGCCATGTGTAGTGCAGATCCAGTGCAGCACATGTTTGGAGGTACGAGTTGGTTTAAGTGAAAAGCTTAAAACAAGAGTTAGGCCCAAAAGGATATAGTTGGAAGTAGTGAGAAAAGATATAGGGACTTATGGCCTAACTGAGGGTATAGTCCTTGATAGAGCGGAATAACAGACCAGGATTCATGTAGCCAACCCCAAATAGTTGGAAAAAGGCTTTGATGACGATGATTATGATGATGGGTAATGTGCACAACAATAGCAACTTTATTGGGGGGTAGACTGTCTAGTTTGTTCCTCAAGAGAGGGGGAATCCTCCTGCAGATTTGTCCTTCAGCTATATGATGATATTTATGGAGTTACAGAAATAATAGAACATTCAGAGATACAAGCACCAGTAAGAGGGTTCCCAAATATGACATAAGAGCATTCCATCGTCTCATAGATGCCAAGCACGGATAAGTTTCAAGGCATCAAGGTAGATGAGTCGATTCGGGAAGAGCCTTGCCCTGTAATTTTGTGAGTGGAAATTTTACTGTAGTCCTAGAAGGAAATATGCAGTCGTACTATCAATCTCTTAGCAATGCAGGTGTTCAATGTAAAGTCGCAAGGGACCTTGAACAAAGGTACATTTCCAGCTGCCCAAGTAAATGCTCCTAACTGATTCCTAGACAAATTCCAAAATTGTTTCCTAATCCACTATTACTCATTTCCCCAATGGACATTTCCTTGCAATTCTGGTAGCTTAAACAAACACAAAGCAACACATTGGGATCCAACTATTTCTGCCTCTTCCAGTTTGCTATAATAGCTCCCACATCCAAATCAGCCCAGTCTTTTCTTTTTTGTGACTCAAAACCTAAGATATCACAACATGCTTTCTAATTCAGTTCATAAACTAATGCGTCTTATTGATGATGCCAAAGTTCGATTAGAACGAGGTGATTTGAACATATGTGAAACCAAGTCTTTTATTTCATAGTTGAGAGCAATTTTGGTGGTTACTTCTTAATAAGTGGGGTCAGAAAAGGCCAATACCCCTTGAACTCTGGAGGAGATCAAGGTACATCATCCTAAGGATTACACAGACCTATATTTTTATAAATGGTCAGCCCAAATGGGTCCTAAGCATTTCAGTGACTATAATGTGCATTGTTCAAAAAAGCGAACCGCCCAGCGCCTAGGCGGTCCAGAAGGCCTGGGCGGCCGCCTAGGTGGTATGGAATCCGCCTAGGCAGCTGCCCAAGGCCTGCACCCTGCCTAGAGGTGGAAAACTTTTTTTTTTTTCATTTTTTTCAAAGGTATAAAAGTTAAGAATGATGGCTTTTAGGTTCATCTGAACCCTAAACCAACCAGAACCCCTTTTAGAGTAACAGAAACCTCCAAAAACTACATTTCATTGGATCGAATCATCGAAGTGTTTTTTAAAATTTCGAGTTCAAGCTACCAAAGTAAGTGCATTTTTTAGATTGCTTGTTTTATTTTGAGATGTCTTCTTCAGAAGTTAGTCCGAGTGGAGATCCAGGTTGAAAATATGGATACAACCCGAATCCAAATGACAAAAATCGCATTAGATGCAATTTTTGTGAAAAAGATACAAAATGAGGCATAAACCGGTTTAAGAAACATCTTGCCGGTATTAAAGAGGATGTTGCCCTTGTAAAAATGTTCCTGAAGTCATCAAGGAGGAGATTAAACAATTTTTAAGTTATGGAAAACAAAAACATGAACAAAATCCTTGTCATAGATCTATTTCTGCTACTCTTAGAAAAAGTGATCCAAGTTGGAAGTATGGGTACAACCCAAAACCAAATGATAAAAAATGTATAAGGTGTAATTTTTGTAAAAAAGATACCAATGGGGGTATTAGCCGATTCAAAAAACACCTTGCTGGTGTTAGAGGTAATGTTGCTTCTTGTACAAAGGTTCCTGAACCAGTTCGAGATGAGATTAGACATCTTCTGAATTTTGAAGAACCAAAAAAGGATGAAAATAAGCCTTGTTCTATAGAAGTATCTCCTCCAGTTTCTAGTCGGAGTGGTGATCCGGGTTAGAAGTATGGTTATAACCTGAATCCAAGTGATAAAAATCGTATTAAATGTAATTATTGTGGAAAGGATCCTAATGGGGGCATTTACCGATTTAAAAAACACCTTGCCAGTATGACAGGAGATGTTGCCCCATGTAAAAATGTTCCTGAGGCTACCAAGGAGGAAATTATACAATATTTGAGTTCAGAGAAGCACAAAAAAGAAGGGTAGAGCAGCCAAGACTCCTAGGGCCTCATCTGCACAGACTGCACATACTAGTAAGAGGAAGGTAGAAAAAGAGGAGGAAGAGGCAGATTCAGAAGAAACAGAGGAGGACGAGCATTATATTGAAGAAGGAGATGACTTTGATGATGATAACCTCAACTCTGATGTATATGATGAAGCTTGCCTTATTGATATTCCTTCTAATGATGATGATGATGATGATTACTGAAGACGCGTGCCTCTTGGTGCTGACTGCTGAGTGTTGAGTGTTGAGTGTTGAGTGTTGAGTGTTGAGTGTTGAGTCTGTTGACAGTTGTGTTAAGTCATGAGTGTTGACTTTTGTTAGACTGTATATTTTCTAAATTTCTGTACATTTATGTTATGTTGAGTGTTGACTTTTATATCTTACACTTGTATGGTTTTACAGTTTACTGTTTTAACAATATGGATTATCAAAATTATCTTCTCGACTTCTATCTTTTTTCTTTTTTTTTTTTCAATTTGGAAAATGGTATATTGGGATTTTTACTTTTTTTTCATTTGGGCAGCTGCCCAGGTTCTGGGTGCTCGCCTAGACGCTAGGCGGCCTGGACCCCCCAGGTCGCCTAGGACCCGCCTAGCGCTTTTTGATACGCTGATAATGTGTGGTCCTCACTTCGAAGATACCATCCCTGCAGATCTAGTGCACCTCAATCCCAACTCATAACAGAATTAGACCGCGTACCAAGTGCGATATCAATTGAAATTCGGATCCTCTGTTGCAATTCATCACGTGTATAAGGTTCACAAATCCAAGTGTTCACTCTGCATTCATGATTAAGGAATGCAAATTGCAACTATTGAAATACCTGTCATGTGTAATGAACTTGAAATACACCGAAGAGGCCATGAAATTCAGGTTTCACAATCAAGACAGGAAAGATTGCACAAGATATGAGCCGTCTCTCACAGACTAAGCCAGGAAGGAGTCATAAACAACGATTCTGTAGCAATGAATGACCCACAAAGGATCCAAGAGTTGTTGGTCACAAATTATTTAAAAGCAAATATTGCAGAATTTTCATTTATTTCCAGAAAGCTAATACTTGTCGATATTGTAATGCATATATCAATTTAGATATATAATATTCCCAGCTAACTTGTATAACTATCTTCTATTAAGTTGATATGCTCAATAATGTCAATGTACAGCTGCTCAATAATTTCAATGTACAGTATAATGCAGGACATATGTGGCCACCCAAGATAATTATGTTTCAAGGAAAAAAGAACGGACCTGATTGGTGCTGATGAGGTATAAATGAAAGACTGTAAGGCCACCAACAAACCATACAGCAATGAAACAGTAGATCATGAGTATCACTGAGGCAGGTGAATGCCTAAGTGCTCTCCATACGGTATGATATTCCCCATCCATCAGAAATTTAATATACAAAGCAGACATAGCGAACACATATATGCAAAGAAGGGTTGAAGATGCTACAAACATGAAGAAGTACCGATAATTTCGCTGCCAGAGATAAACAAGAATTGATTAGATTTTGTTACTGATAGTGGAAATCGAATTAGTTAGATAAGGCATGTCAACAATTCACGTACATAGGAATGGGACACACATCAAACACATCAAGTACATGGAAGAGAATGAATACAAAATACACTGTGAAGATCCAAATTCCACATTAAACATAGCAAGTAATTCATAGGTCAAGACATAATATACATTCAAAACAAAATAATAGGTCATGACATAATATACAATTAAAACCACATAAAACAGCATCCCATAAAGTCCTTAAAAAATTATACACCACGAAACTAAAAATAGGTCCAAACATACAAATATGCAAACTGGACAAGCCCCCTAAATGTATGAGTTAAATTCAAACGTTTAAACTTTGTCAAGTATCTTCATAAGAAAGAGAAATAACATAAATATGACAAACATGGGAAGGAAATATGTTAACTATGACAGGTCTATGGCCCAGTCTACAAATGCTTAAAACTCAAAAAATTTATGCATAAGACCCCCATACAACCCATTTTATACAAGTTATAATGAATGTGCAGCCATAACGAACTTATATAAGGGGCAAATACCCAATGATACACAACTCAAAAGAAGGCCCAAAACACCTCTAAGAAGCCCAAACACAAATTTCCATTCAATAGAAAACAACATGAGATTGCATGGTCACAAGACTCTATACTCGCATACAAAATCGTCATTGTATTACAAAAAACAATAGCCTTAAACACTTTCAATAATCCAACAAACTCTTATCCATTGTAATATCAAGAATTACAACGCATGAATAAACTCAAAACCACAGACGAAGGACTATGGAGAAGCCAAATTACCTGAAAATAGCCTAGGATCACTTCCTCTGGATTTCGTGCATCCCAAACCAGATCTCCCCTTTCACTAGTGCCAGAATTGGGACCTAGTGCTCTCCTCCAAGTGGTAAGCCAAGAAGGACACAACCCTAACTCAGTTTGGCCTCTGAGATGGGTTAGGAATGTAGTGGGAAAGATGGCCAAGAATGCACCATGTTGGGTGTAGAAAGATGGAGGCAAGAACAAAGTTTATGTACACACTATGTGGGAGACAATGTGCAGGACAATGGACAAGCAACCCGAGGGCTTTGAAGAGAGAGATTGTAGAACATTAAGGTGGACTTTTACCTTGCTGGTTTTGACCTTAGCGAAGTAGATATCAATGACATTAATGGGGCGTGGTGCTTCTAACTAGGGACATAGTAGGCAAGGAGATAATATAAGGTTTAGTGATAGAAAGGAAGTATACGGATATGAAGCATATGACTCTATGGTCTAGGGAGCAAGGTTTAATCTCAAGTAGATGGGTGTGGGTCTCTAGGAGCTCTCTCCTATCACCAATTTGGCAGCATAACAATGCTTGTGCAAGTATATCAAAGGAGGAGCCAAGCACTTTATTTATAGTGCTTAGGGTTTCAATAATGTGTAGAAGGTTCTTCTTATAGAGGAACGTTATGGGTCATTAATCTTGAAAATCTTTAGGGTGAAAAGAGGCTCAATCTAAGTCACTCATCCCTTTAAATGCATTTGGTCTTATTTAAGGCCATGTTCACTTAGAGATCATAAATATCCTCCTTAAATCAAGGGTCTAATGATCTCATGTGTGGAAGGGAAGATTAGAAATATAGACACATGGGATGGCGTGTGCCCCTCAAGCTCTCTCTCTCTCACACACACACTTGAAAGGAGAGATAATATGGAATCTTTCTCTATCTTTAACCACTCTCTCTCTTACACTGTACTTAAAGAAGAGCGAAGATGAAATATCTCTCTCTTTCTCTCTCTCTAACCACTTCACACTCGTGTTTAAGTGACATTGTCCAAGGTAACTTTACATGTGGGCTAGGGATCTTATGTCATGTGTCTCTCCTTAGACACAATTACTGATTTGTCCATGGTCCCAATAAATTTAAAGGAACATTAGGGCTTCGATAGCTAGGGGATGAGGGTGTTGAATCTCAGACCTTGATTGATGATAGCTCATCAAGGGACAAGTGGCTTGGATTGATACTCTCCATGGATCTCCAAGATCAATGACACTTAGTTCTCGTCCCCTAAGAAGAACCTTCTATACATGCTTGAAACCTACTTGGCACCATAAATAGGGGTGCTTGGCACCTCATTTGATACACCTCCACAAGCATTGTTATGCTGTCAAATTGGTGAGAGAGAGAGCTCCTAGAGATCCACGCCCCTCTTCTTGAGATTAAACTCTCCTAAACCATAGAGTGTTAATGCTCCATAGCCCAATACTTCCTATCTACCACTATGCCTTGTATGATTCCATCACCTTGCATACTCTATACCTTGTCGCTCAAGGCCCCATTAATGGTGATTGATGCCTCTCCAAGGTCTAAGCTAGTAAGATAAAAACCCACTTTAAATTCTATAGTTTCCCTCTCCTAAGCCCTCATATTGCTTGTTCATTGTCAAGTACTTTGTCTCCCACATAGTACGTGCATAAGCCTTGTTCTTGCCTCCATCTTTCTATACCCAACACGGTGCATTTTTGGGCATCTTTCCTGCTTTATGCTTAGCCCATCTCAAAGGCCAAACAAAGTTAGGGTGGATTTCTTCTTGGCTTCCTACTTGGAGGGGAGCATTGGGCTCCAATCCCAGTATTATTAGAAGCGGAGATCCAGTTTGGGCTGCATGAAATCCCAAGGAGGTGAACCCACGAAATTTTCAGGTAATTTGGAATCCCCAAGGTCCTTTGTTTTCAGTTTTGAGTTTATTCATGAGTTTTTTTTTTTTTTTCTACATGTTATCTTTTGTATTTAGTAAGTAGTTACAAGAAAAGTAAATAAGAGAGTAGGCACAGACCAGGTCTCCTATACAAAAAACCTTGAGGGTACAAATTGAGTTTATTCATAAGTTGTAAGTCTTGAGACTACAGGATAAGTATTCGTTGGATTATTGGAAGTGTTTGATGTAACTATCATTTTTTATTGCTGATTTTGTACGAGTACATAGCTTGTATCCATAAAATCTTATGTTGTTTAATTGAATGGAAATTTGTGTTGGAGCTTCTTAGATGTGTTTTGACTTTTGAGCCTTCTTTTGAGTTGTATATCAATGGGTATGGGCCCTTGTATCAGTCCCTTGTGGCTGCACTTTCATTGTAACCTGTATATTTTGGTTTGTATGGGGTCTTATTGCCTAAAATTTTTAAGTTGTAAGATCGGTCGATAAACCATAAATACAGATTTATATACACATTAATCACTGAATTTGTCTAAAATACCATTCAAAAAATAAAAAATCTGTATCAAATAAATGATTGTAGTCAAAACACATGTATACGTAAAAAAAGGTCTCGTAAACTAACTGACCAAAGTCCTGAAGAATCAAGAAAAACATAGGGAAATTATCAAAAATATCTATGTTTTAATAATTCAAAAAAACTATAATTTTTAATTCTATGCACATGACCATTTTTCTCATTTTATTTTTTTAACCCAAAAAACCCCTTTAAGAACCTATTAGGTTTGTGATGGATCCATCACGAGCGTAATAGGTCAATGATGGTCCCAAGCACCCACTTGCATGCCGAACTGGGAAAAACCTATTAGATCCGTGAAGACCCATCATGGACCTAGTAGGTTCATGATGGTCAAAATAGGTCCCAAGATCATCATGGACCTATTAGGTCCGTGATGAGTCTTCACAAACCTAATAGGCCTGTGATGGTCCCAAGTCCCATACTTTTCTTAATCACAGTTGAATAAAGACATGTAAAAAAACTCATCCTCATCCCTCTACTGCCTATCTTTCCAGTCTGAACCATACTTCTTTTTTTTTTTTTGGGAAATGTTTGACGAGATTTTTGTATCACTTTCCAATGAGTATGGTTCAAACTTTGGAACAGTCTAAACCATACTTAGAGATCTTTACACATGAATGTCCTTTCCCTCCAAAATTTAGAAGCTAGGATCTTCTCCACAGGTGGCATTCTTACTCTTAATAAAATCTTTCCAGTTACTTCCATGTAATTCCTAGGGAATCCTGTTCAAGATTTGCTACTCACACCCACACCCATCAGGCGCCTTCGTTGCCAATCCCTATATGAATTGGGTTCTAAGTTACCAAAAACAAAATCTCCGCGATGAGGTGTTGATCTTGTCCCCAATCAGAACATCACAGACCTATTAAGTTTGTGAAGACTGATGGTCTTGGGATAATCCCAAACCTATTAAGCCCATGATGGGTCTTCACGGACCTATTAGATCCGTGAAGCCCCAAGCACCCACTTGGGTGCTTGGGTCCATCATGGAAATATGAGTAAAACTGAAGAAATATCGGTATTTTTCGAATCGCTGAAACAAAGGGATTTTTTCATAATTTCCCAAAGTAATATATGGTTCAGATACACTTGATTTCCATCCTTCAATATGTAGGGATGTGTGAGTGTGTGTAAAGGAGGAAAAGGACACTGCAAAGTTTAACCCATACAAATTTACTAAGGCTGCATTTGGAAAGTACTATTTTATACAATAAAGTTCAATGACATAAGAATCCTGTGGCGGTCAATGAAATATCATTTGCCATGCGCTTAGTACCAAGTAGCCATTCAATGCGCTGATTTTTTATCCCCCTTTTGCAATGGATTTGGAAAGAATTCACGGTCCTTGTGCTCTATTGTGCAGAGCACAATGGGACACAACACCCATCACATTAGTGATATTCACAGGTGGCTCTCTCAAACCCGGCCTAAACAAGTTAAAATTATCACATAGCAACAAGATGCAGTGAAGGAATTACCAGTCCAACACACTGCCCAACCCAGGGGCAGTGATGATCGAATCGCTGAACGCAGTTATTGCAAATGGAGCAATGCGAGCAACGAGGAGGACGATACACCATACATGTATCACAATACTTGACCTTAACAACCACGCCACTGGGTAATTGGACTTCTCTGGTGCGGGGAAATGGAGGTCTTGGAGTTTGTCCCACACTAGTATTATTGGGATTGGAGTACTCATGCTGCACATCTATGGGGGGATGCAAAGCTCGAGGTACAATACCAGGATCTTGAGCAGAAGTAAGAAGCAGCAGCACTAACACCTTCCATAAGCAACAATGAGGATAACATAAGCATATAGATGTTTTATCTAAGGAAAAGTACACAACAAGGCCATTTACTTTTGGTACAAGGAGATCACGAACAACTTTGCTCGTCAGATTCAAATATGGTGGTTGTAAAAGTGTCATTGACTAGAATGAAAATTAAAAAAATATATATATATCAAACTTCGTAACATGCCCTAAGCCATCCAATTTGACATCTGATGACTAGTAATAAATGTGACCTCCTTGCAACAGATAAATGCTCTCATAGTATACATTCCCTTATCTAAAATGTCATACAAGTAGTATGAAAAACTATGCAAGTAGTTCAATACTTCAATCATCTCCACAAAAAGAATTCTGAAAAGATAACTGATAGCATGAAAAATGAGCAACCTATGCATGATTCATGAACATCTAGAAGTCAATGACAAGGGCAGAAACATCAGAATGCCTGATGGGAGACAGAGAAAAAAAAAAAAAGACACCAAAAAAGAAGATACCATCATTAAACTAATCGTTTGTCATGTTACAATCAGTCAATGTCAATTATATCGACTGCTAGCAAGCAACACCATGAGACCCATGGGCACGTAGATGTGAGTGAGTGAATGAGTGATGAGTAAGTGAGTGAGTGAGTGTGTGTGTGTGTGAGAGAGAGAGAGAGAGAAAGAGAGAGAGGGAGAGATGAGTGTGTATGTGTGTGTGTGAGAGACAGAGAGAGAGATGGTTAGCCATTTGAAACTAAATCTAAATAAAAATCATGTTTTTAAGAAGAAATTTAATGTAAATAAATTTTCAAAAAAATAAATATTCAATAAATATTCAAATTTAACATTCACAAGAATACCTAGGATAAAATCAACTTGGAAAGACGATCTAATAGCAATTCCAAAAAAAAATTAATCTTTAATTGTGTGTATGAATGCATTAGCACATCCACACATCCCTGACTAGTAATCAATGTGGTAATTAAAAGGATCATTTATCTAGACTCTCCTGGTTATTCAGATGAGTGATGAAATTCAAAATATCATACAAATCAGTCATCTTTTTTACAGAATTATATTATTTAAGTAAGGGCATTGAACGAAAACTTGCACATGGACACACTAGCGCATGCCGCTCAAAATGACCCCAAACAATGTCGAACAGCGAGGCATGCACCTCAAACAAATGAAATGAAACAAGGGAAAAAAGCCTCATTAACGATGAGGTATATGTTTTCCATTTTAGGATTTTGTACTCAACTTGTCCACAGCTTGTAAACAAACTGAATCAGGTTTAAAGATTTGCTTACTAGTGTGCTTATTTTGAACATGGTTATTGTAGATTTTTCCCCTATGTGATTTTGGCTTTGGAGGTCATTCAAGCTCCAAGGCCATGTTCATGTTGACTAGAAATCATGGCTCTCCAGAACTCATGGAAGCCAAACACAAAGCAGTTCTCCACTTCAATGCAACTCTCAAATGCAGTCCAGTCGGCACTTTTGCTTTAACTCACCAGAACTCCTGGGATTTGCCCTTCGGAGGGCATAGGACACTTACTAGAGATCAGTGTTCGCAAAATCGAATTGGAACGGTTAACCGGACATGGGCATGGAAGCGGTTTAACCGGCCTAACCAGTTAACCGGCCGATTCAACCGCTCTAACAGGGCAAGTCCCAGGCGGTCAAAAAAGTGTTTAAAAAAAAAATACAAAAAAAATCTACTAAAATATGAAAAGCATACGAAAAATGATTAAAACAAAACACATTCAAATGAAGTTGAAAATTAATGAAAAAAATGGATTTTAGCCCACTTTATATTTTCCAATTGCTATTTTAAAATTAAAAAAAAAAGATGGGAAAAAATAAAAGTGAGTATTAATGATCAAAAC